ATTAAATGTAAAATTTAATGGACATGTTTATTGAAACTTGAAGGCTAAGAAAAAAGGGGGGCATGTGTCGTTGGATGAGGTTATCATCCACACAAAGACAAAGAAGCACGACGGCAAGACTTGGGTGGATCCTGAACATGCTGAGCTACAGGTAGTTTCTGTTATACGCAAAACAGTTTGTGTTCATGTTCATAATGTTGGTGCTTTTGTCTTAAAACTTCTAAAGGCTGATACTTTATTCGATATCTTAGCGTGTGTAAATGAATTATATTATTCTTGTTGACGTTATTCTTCTTGTTGAGTTGATGGTGGTGTTGTTGTCGTATGACACTAGCTATTTGTGTTGTTGCATTGATGGCGTTGTTGTCCTATGACAACCTATTTTGTTTTTGCGTTGATGGTGCTGTCAACACTAAGTAAATTTTACGTTGTTAGTGATCCATGGTAATGTTTGTTGTTAAGTTCTTGTGGTATTGTTTTTCTTGTTTTATTGCTGTTCTTGACGCAATGATTATTGTGTTGATGTGTGTTATTAACTATTATGTATTTCAGGCTTAATTCTTCGAACTGCGCGAGGAGGCTACACAGAATGGGCTGCAAGTCACCGACGAAGAAATATGGTGCTCGCTAGTTGAGGGCCATAACGCGAAGAACCGCGTTCCTAGAGTTGGTGACTACGAGCGGGAAATGAGGAAGATGAATCCGTCCTCCAAACCTCTCCGTTCCAGCACGAGTAGTAGAAGTACAGCGGAGATATCAGCACTCAAAGAGCAAAACCAAAGGTTGCAGGAACAAATTGATAGTCTAACCTCGAACTTGTCAATGACGATTCAAGAGGAGCTAAGGAAGCTATATGGTGGTAACCTTCCTCGACGAGGTGATGATGATGGAACAGGAGGGGCAGGGCAGCCCGGGATTTGTTGAGACATTTACGACCTTAGCTTCCTCCATTTTAAACACTTGACACTAACATTTTAATATTTGTTGTTAAAACATATTGAATTATGCTACATTCGCATTTGAAGTTTGCATTAATCTAGATTTGAATTAGCAATTTGGGTGTTTGAAATCTTGTTTGGAATTATATGTGTGAAGATTGAATGTGTTTTGCCCCCCACACACCCCATTGTAATAAGTAGTGCTGAAAACAGAAAAATTCTGGCAACAGGTCATCTGCGACGGACTGACCGTCGCTACATTTGTCGCTGATCTGCGACGAAGGATTCCGTTGCTAATGCCGTCGCAGATCTGCGACAATTTTCTATATCCATCGCAGATTTTGGTGGATGGAAAAAATGAAAACCCCGTTGCAGTTCCGTCGCAGATCTGCCACGGATTTTAAAGTCCGTCGCAGATTTTGAATCTGCCACAACTTTTCTGCGACGGAACGATTTCGTGGCAGATCCGTCGCAAAATAGAAATCTGCCACGGAAAATTAGATTCTGCCACGAAATTTTTCCGTTGCAGAAGAGGAATTTTCTTGTAGTGGTCCCTGATAGTTTAGGTCATGCATCAAGTCGTATCATCATCATGTATGTTCCACATCACGTCAACATTCAATGTGGTAGCACATCATTTTGTTATATGTAGTAGTATATCAACAGGTGCAAACTAAACAGTTAGTAAACATGTGGTTTCTCGTACGTTGAGTACAAGTATTAATATGTGTATAATCATATGGGTTATCACTCCATGTTCTTTTGTTAGATTCACTCCTCAGCTTTTGCTGAGCGTGTAGTTGTTTTTGCTACACGCACGTAGACATGACGGTACAGGTGCTAACCCTGGAGGACAGTGATGATGGAAAAATGGGCGGCACACGGATGAGTTTAATAATTAAATACATTTAATAAATTAATCTTTTGGGCAAAAACCCACCATTTGTCGTTTTACTTATTTTGGACTTATTTATTTACTTCCGCTTTTACTCTGCTTTTATGTCATACACGTTTGGGGTTAACCCCCTAGCATTTATTCCATCAATTAAGCACAACCGTTTTCATAATAAATGAGCATTAATGTTTTTCCCGCTACGGACGTTTCTCGGACCGCCCATGTAACCCTACCGGTCCGTTGGGTCGAGGGTGAACCGGGTCCACGGAAGGCAGGTGTTACAGACCTACAGGTCAACAAGCCCACTGAGCAATGGTGGGAGATGGCGGTAGATGGGGCTTCTGGTCCTAAAGGGTACGGGGGTGGTATAGTGTTTACCACCCCACAAGGATTCAAGATCTACCATTCACTTGTCTTCAACTTCAAATTAACGAATAACGAGGCGGAATATGAAGCTCTAGCTGGAGGACTCAGACTCGCTCAAGCTCTCAAAATCAGCCGGGTCAGTATCAAATCTCACTCTAGCCTGATTGTTGGGCAGGTGACCGGTAATATGGAAGCAAGGGAAAGACAAATGGCGCAATACAAGGACCTGGTGTTTGCCTTGTTGAAAGGCTTCGAGGAATTCAATATCGCCCAGAGCATGTTTCAAAACTTGCCCGGGTAGAAATCCTTGATCGAGCCAGCATCGAGAAACTAGAAGTGGCCACTATAGCAGCAGTCGGCCACTTTGACCGGTCAAACACGGTCGGGGCAGACGACCATTGGATGAGCGGCCTTATGAAATATTTGACAGATGGAAGCTTGCCAGAACAAGATGAGCGGGCAAGAAAAGTAAAACTCAGGGCACCCCGGTTCCAAGTCATTGACGGAATGCTATATAAGAGGGCATTCGGGGGACCGCTATTGAGATGCCTGGCCAACCAGGAAGCTGAGCGAGTCATAGAAGAAGTTCATGAAGGGGTGTGCGCAGCACATCAAATGTCTCGTACAATATCCCAGCGCATCAGCCTGTTGGGGTATTACTGGCCAACAATCGTCCAGGATTGTGAAAGGTATGTCCAGAAATGCCAAACCTGCCAAGTCTTCTACAAATGCCCAGGCAGACCGGAGACTTACTATCACCCCGTATCGAATGTCATCCCGTTCGCTAGATTCGGGGTTGATATCATTAAAGCATTCCCAATTTCCCCAGAAAGGAAGAAGTTCGTAATCGTGGCTATCAATTATTTCACCAAATGGATCGAAGCCGAAGCATTGGCCAATATCACCACGCAACAATGCAAGAAATTCATTTGGAAGAATATCCTCACAAGGTTTGGAGCTCCCATGAATCTCGTCACTAACAACGGCCCGCAATTCCGAAATCCGAGATTCACTGAATACTTGTAGGGCTTCGGGATTAAACACAATCGTTCTTCGGTGGCATACCCCCAAGGAAATGGCCAAGTGGAAAACGCCAACCGAACGATTGAAGATGGTTTAAAGAAGCGGCTAGGAGAAGCAGGAAACAAGTGGCTAGAAGAGCTTCCGCACATCGTATGAGCATTTCGAGTAACTCCCAGGAGGGCACACGGGGAAACTCCATTCTCCCTAACCTATGGGTGTGAAGCAAGACTACCCATCGAGGCCGAGCTCCCAACATTCCAGGAATCAATCTATCAACCCAAGCAAAATGAAGAGGATCATTTAGCCGAACTCAACTTGGTCGAGGAGCGAAGGACGGTTGCGGAAGTGAAAATGAGTACGCACCAACAAGTTGTGAAGAAGTACCACAATAACAAGGTTGGGTCGCGATACTTCCAAGTTGGTGATGAAATCTTGCGAAGAAGAGAGGCTAGTAAGCCGGGGGATGGAGGAAAACTATCAAAAAATTGGGAACGCCCTTACCGGGTGAAAGCAATCATTTGCCCGGGAACCTATCGGTTAGAAACTCTAGATGGTATACCGGTAGAAAGAACTTGGAATTCTCATCATCTTCGAAAATTCTACAAATGATTGTAATACTAGGCGAGGCCTACTTCTATTATCGAGGAAATGATATGTCGAACCTATCCTAGGAGGGCTTTCCCGGTGGATCGAATCCACTCGGATAAGCCAACTGAGACACAGGCCCGGACCTGGCACGCTGGTTACTACACCAGTCTTGCTCAGTATAATAGAAAAAATAATAAAACCCGGAAGAGGGGTATACCTGCAAGAGGGCTGGACCTGGAAGAAGGTTTGAACCGTACTTACACGGGCCCAGGAGGTTTGACCGGTATCGGGGATTCAGTCGAAACCGTCAAAATGATTGGGGACTAAAAGATGCCCATTAAAAGAAATAGAAATGGATCGTTCACCGTGACACATCCTACTCTGACCAGTTCGGATTCCCCCTTCTCAGGGAAGACTTGAACGGCGGGTGAGCTAAGGCCTTCCCGGGATAGTAGATATCAAAGGGCCATTAAAAAACTTAATCACCCGGAAGAGGGGCCCTGGAAGAAGGGTGCATTCGAACCTTAGAGAGGTTCGAAACCATTCGACATGGTTAAATCTCTAGTATTCTTACCAGTTAAGAATACTTCAAGAATTTTTAGGTTACAGGTGCTTCCACCTACAACCTACCAGTAAAAAAATGGAATACCCCGGTTGGGTATTGATACAGGAGAACTTCGAAAGTTCTTCAAGGCAAATCTGCTAACCGGTCATACTGTGAGGAGCGGACCTACAAGTTAGCCCGAAACCCTACCAGGCGAACTTCTTTAAGTAGATCATCAAAAGGAAGATATTCAAAAGCAAAAGTTGAAGTTCTACCAGCAGACATTAATCAGATTCAAGATTCAAAAGATGTGGTTGCATTTTGTACCGGTCGGAATTCCTATTATGACATTTTAAGGGAAATGGGCAGGTTATCAAACAAGAAGCATTCGAAGTTGAACAGATAACCGGGTAACCAAACAAACATGGCAGTTAAAGAAAAAAGGTGAAATGTTTACACAACACACCAGGCATCCCCGGGGAAATTTCAAGTTTTACAAAAACAACCGGGCGCAGTCGGGAAGTTAATCAAGGGGGAAAGGGGGAGTTGGCTCTTATTCCGGGATGGGTGCCAGGCCGTACGAGGCAGCACTCAAGTCCGGGTCTCTCTTAAGCAAGATCCGATGAGAGGCAATCCAGTCTTTCTTTTGACCGCTTTTGAATCCAAAGGACCCAATCGCGGTGATCATCTTCCTCCCTTCAGGCTCCTAGTATAGGAACTTGAAAGATTCCATAGTGGCCTCCGGAGTTGCCGTCATCACCCGGGCGGCTTTAGCTTTATTTTCTTCCACCCAAGCAGCTGCAAGCCCGGGGAAGTCCTCGGCCTTCTTCGCCATCTCTTGCTTCACCTCGGAGACCTCGTCCATCAGTCGGCCATTCTCCTCCTTCAGCTGGGAGATTTCGGCCTTCATAGGCCCGGCCATCCCAGATTGCCTGGTCAGCTCATCCGCTTGGCTCTTCAAGATGAGAGTCATCTCCTCCTTCTTCAGCTGGGCAACCTCGAAAGGAAAGCTCATCCCCAACTGGTCCACTGTGAGTGGTCCAATCTCCCCAACCTGCACCATTCGCAAAACACCGGTTACATTTTTATGAAAAACAAGGACTGAAATAACTGGGAAGAAAATTCAACTTACCTCCCTCAGCCTCAACCCAAGGTTGATGAAGGCTTCTTTGACGGACGGGGATGCCGTGTCAGAGTCTACCCACTGCCTCTTCTTGCTGAAGGAATGATGAGTGGTGGCTACCTTCTTGGTCCGGCGGCTGGTCTTCTCTTTAGTCTTGGGAGGGCTCTTCCCCTTGGACCGGTCATCTTGGGGCTCGTCCTCATCATGGATTTCCACGGTCTCTTGGTGGACCGTGAAAGTTTTAGAGGGGGGAGCTTGAGAGCCACCGGTCTCTCCCGCTGGCTGATCATCGGGGATCTCAAATTCTTCGAATTCCATGTCTGCAAGATCAAAGAAAAGGTTAAGTATCGGCAATGGAACCGGTATAAAGGAAAGGTACGAGATAAAGCAAAAAGATACTTGGGTGGGAGTTGCCCTCAGCGTCTGCACTGTTGCCCAGGGAGGGTACCCCGTGCCCCGCTACTTCATGGGCCTGGGAGGTACCCTCGCCACCCGGTTGGATTCTCCAGACCCAGCTCCCATAGTGGAACTTCCTCCCGGTGAACGAGTCACCGCGAAGAAGAATCTCAAGGCTCGCTTCAAGGTCGGGGGAGGAAGCCGGCACGGTGTACTCGTGGTTGAGGAGATGGTCGTTCCACTTTAGACCGGCCAGGGGAGTGACAAACGGGGGAAACTCAATGAAAACAAACTTTTCCTTCCATCCCCAGTTACTTTGGGGGACGTCGGAAATGAATTTCCTACTGGCTCGACCTTTGAAGTACGCAAAACCTTCACAGCCGGTCCCGCCCGGTAGGACTTCGAAGCAAAAGAGGAAAAGACAAAGGGAAGGCTCGATTTTGAGGTGTGAACAGATATTTATAAAGGATTACAGATAACAATGCGCGTTAGGAGTTAGCTGGTCGGGAAAAATCCTAAACGCGTGACAGACTTCGGATAGGAGGGGGCGAAGGGGAAAAATGATGCCGCCATCCAGAGAAACGATATGGAAACCTATCCTATTCTCCCGGTGGGGTTCAACTATGTTGGGCCAATCATTTTGTACTGAAGGACGTACCCATCCGGGAGCCTTCTACGAACCTTATTAAGAGCGATTTTGGATACGCGGGAAGAAATGTCTAGATCATAATAAGTGGGGAGTGGAAAGTAACCCGCAGTACGAAGCCGCTCTTCCCACTCCTCCAAAGACTCATTATCAGGGTCATAGGGACCCAGTTCGTCATCAACCGGCTCGTCCCTCTCCGCAAAAACTTGACCGGGTACTTGATTAACCGGCTCGGACCCGGGAACAGAAGGGTTAGGAGCCGGTCTAGGTACTGATTCAGAAGAAGAGTACCCAGTCGAAGAGGAGGAGGTAGAATCCTCAGATGAAGAGTCATCTGAGGACGAAATTCTACGACTACCAAAAGAAGACATAACCGGGAAAAGAATTAAAGAAGAGGCGAGCTTACTTGACTCGGAGGGCTGAAGGCGAGAAGAGGAAGCCTGACCGGTGAAAGCTCTGGAGACTCAAGATGCGAAAAGTGAGAAGTGAAGAGGGTTGAAGGTCTTTATATAGGAGGAGGGAAGCGAGATCGAGCGACGTGGCCTCTTGAGGTTGTGCCGCGTCAGGCGGCGCAATGATGGCGCGTGGGAAGGCGAACGGGTAGGCTGACAACGCATCATTGCGAGGGTTGGCGTCCAACACGTGTCAGAATTCAGAGTTTTCAAATTCGAATTTTGAAATTTTAGGGCGGGAAGGGCCTAAAACTCGAAATTGGCATCCTGTTTTAGGTTTTTACTTCATGCTCATGACAAATTGCATGACCGCGAAGTGGAGGGCTTATTGATGGGTGTACTCCACCCAGGACCGGTCAAAAAAGAGGTCTAAATAGTTGACCGGTCAAGTGGATCGAACTGGAAAGGGAAGCCTTAATCGTCGGTAAAAAGAGGCTCGATTGACCAAAACTCTGACCAGTACACTTCGGATAGTATACCGGTCAAACTACTTTATCGCCTTGTCCAGTCCCTAATTTCGATAAACTTATCCCCCAGAAATTACCCGGTGTAGTTTCTAGGGTTGGAAAGTGTCGGCAGAGAAGAATCCAAAGGAGCTTGGATTGTAGTGACTAGTATCGCTGGAAGATCAATAGAGATGCTAGAGGAATCTGTCCAAGCCAGTACGCGACAAGGGAGCAATCTCTCTCGCAAGATGACAAGGCAGCAAGAGGACGAAGGCCATCACCTCCCACCATCCGAGAACGTGCCTCCACGTGGGTGCACGACGTCCTGTCTCCCTCAAACTTAGTATAAATACTGTTGTAATCCTCAGAAAGAGGGATCCGAATTCATTCTCTCTAAACTCCCTTGTAAAACCTCCCTTGCATTCTCTGTTATAATATTAATTGGGCTACAGGTTTTTCCACCTACAGTCCTCCCGGTCACTTCGCGTATTTTTTACTTTTTTACTTTATCGAATGAAGTAAACGATTCTAGACCCGACCTAGTGTAGTTTACCCGGTTAAGGTAATTTACACCATCATATGTTTTTAAAAATACAATAGTAGAACACTCTTGTTGGAAATTTGTCTCATTTTTTTAAAAAAACATAACAATTTACAAGTTAAATTTTGTTTTATGTTATGGGGGAAATATAATATTGGATTATCGAAAAATAATTCAGAGTATCGCTCGAGAAAGAAATTGCAATACCAAAAAATTGTAGTAAGCTATAAAATTAATTAGTGACGTTTTGGAGAGAAAAATATTGTGTCATTTTCATAACTTTTGAATAATTATTTTAGAGAAAAAAATTGTACTAAATTATCAAAAAAAATCACAAGTTGGATAGTTCCTTTTTAGAATAAACAATATGGGTAATAGAGGATTATTAATAAACATTTTAGAGTGTTGTTTATGAAAAAAATTGCAATACAACAAAAAATGTAATGAGCTATAACAATAAAATTTCCATTTTAGAGAAAAAATTAGTTTTTTTACATGCGATGTAAAAAATGTTTATATAGAATTATCAAAAATATTCACAAGTTTTGTAGTACCATTTTATAAATATAATACGGAGTAATAGTACAATATCAAAAAACAATTTGAAGTATCGCTCAAGAAAAAATAATTACAACTTTTGAAAAATGTAGTGAGTTATTAGGTGAATAAATTAACTCCGTTGTGTAGAATAATTTATTGTTCAATTATTAGCAGATTATCGATTATTCAAAAAAACAATAAGTTTCACTCTAAAAATCACTTAAATTTGGTGGAGTATTATTTAAAAACGAAAAAATTGAAAATTTACCTAAAATAATTTCACCTTTCATTTATTTGTCAAAAATAAGAATTTTCCAAAGATTTTGTTAAGTGGCCGTTAGCTTTTTACGTCAATCCAAAACTCGCACACATACGAAAAAGTCAAGCCAGATAAAAGAGATGAGGAAAGTAAAAAAAATGAAGCTCTAATCTCAAATGAGTAGTAGAGAATGAACCATTACGCAGGCACAAAACATCCCACACTATATTCATTAAGAATCGAACCCGATCACAGCTCCCCTTTTGCACACCTCTATTGACTACTCGAGCTATCCCTCGAGCCAATAGGGTTACTAGAACGTCAGTCACTTTAAGAGGTCGAATTCAGAATACATTCAGGGTGATTGCCCACCATGTCAAGGACATCCAAACGTGTAACACAAATGATAAGTATAATAGAAACATCATTCAAAGCACAAACAAGCATTAGTTGTGAAATGTGTGTTTTAAATTTACCACATTATATCCTGTTGTAGTTTTTCTAAGGTATGCAATTCACAATTGGTGACAGAAATTTTGCATCTTAACCACAGCAGGAGCCGCACGCAGGAAGGGAACCTGCATTGTTTCCAGAACAATACACTTAAATCACATTTTCAGAAAAGAATGAAAAAGGAGACTTTGACCACAAAGAACTACTTACTATGGTCAATGCCTCGGACATTATCTAATCCACGGGGTGGCCCACCACGTGGACCTGATCCATACGGACCGCTTCCTGGACCTCCAGGGCCACCACCATCCCACTTCTTGCTAGATCCAGTCCCCTTCCTATAAGCATCAGACTTTTCCATCTGCAGAGTAGGGAGCATAAAAATAGGGTACTGAAATCAAATTAATTAACCAAACAACAGAATCAATATTACTGAAAACATGGTGGCAAAGAAAATGCTAATGAAGTTGATGATTGCCCAAAAGAAATCAGTCAATGTTTTCAAACGCCAAATTGATCGCTTGGGTTTCACAACACCTGCAAAAAAGCAATAGATTTAACTGAAAATCAATGTGTGTCATAAGTATATAATAATGATTGAGACTGTAACATAGAAAAGGCATAATGTGCACCACATCTATCTATAAAGGCTCATACTAGAGTGATACCAGAGCTGTGCATGACATCAGTATGTCACACATACACACACAAGGACTGTGTGTGTGCAATTGAGTGTGAGAGTAGTGTCATACCTGGATGGTGTCAAAATAGCATTTTCTATGTATAAATCCAACTTTCCATGAGAGTATTGGACGAACACATCAAGATGGAGGGTGTGTGTGTGTGCGTGCATACATACATACATACATACATACATACACACACACACATATATACATAATGATTTTTTTAATGTTAAATTATTTATTTTTCCGTACCCGCATCTTTTATTTTTTAAAATGCTGTTTCCCATCCGCATCCCCGACCCCGTAAATGTTCCCGCACCTGTCTGAGTGCAACCTAGACTCCAATCACCTTATCTTATCTTGAGCATAAGCAATATCTGCAGCTCAAGACTATCGTACAATCATTTCCGGCAATGCATACCGGTACTTTTTCTACTGTCTGCATTTCTAACATCACACCCTCTAACCTATAGGCTATGAATTCTCATCTTAGATGCCTCCGACCACAAATCTGGTCAGACATATTTGTTAACTTCACCTTAGCTAATGGTCTTAAAAGTTAAAACACCAACAACTGGAATTGGCCAGGCAATTCTCATGTCTTTACCCTTTCAGTCTTCTTGTGTCTTAAATGATCCAAATAGTCCATTCAGCCTTGTTTCCATTAGTAAGCTTACATGTTCTTAAATTGTATTGTAGCCTTTTCTAGTACTTCGACAATAGTACACTGTAGAAAATTAGGTTTTTCAACACGGGTTGGATGTGAATTGCAGGACCTCTATGCACCTAACCTAGTTGTTGTTGTATCCATGGAATATTCAGACACCCCAGCTTATCTAAACTACACTGTAGAAAATTAGGTTTTTCAACACGGGTTTTTAGAATGTGGATGGTTTCATCTTGAAATGCAAGCCCAACAATCTTTTCTAGGGATAGTCAATAATTTAGATCATATTGATGGGTGGGATCCATGTCATGCCATCTATTTAAAGGGATTTCATTTCTTTCTTCCATTCATTGAGGACTATTTCTACACGTATGTGGGTCTTCCTCATGAAGAAACGATCAGAACTGTTTAATGCTTCTCAAAATTTCTGTGCTGGTCTTACAAACTCAGTTCGATGACAAAACAATATATATATTGGATAGTGATAATGCACCGGAGTTTGTTTCAACCCTACACTAGATATATTGATTCCCACTGAATGTAACACAAGTCGTCATGAGTCTCACAAAATGGAGTAGCTCAATGAAAGATCTTTCTTTGAGTCTACTGCACACAACAACAACAACCCAGTTGAATCCCACAAGAGTGGGGTCTAGAGAGAGTGTGCATACACAGATCATACCCCTACTCGAAAGTAGAGAGGTTGTTTCAAAAGAGACCTATATTTAAAACATAGAACAGTTGTTTCCAGATGACCCATGATGGGCGTCGAAAGTTGCATTGACTAGCTGCTACTTCACTATTAAAAGAAGCGCGAACAGTTTAAAAAGCCATTTTGTTTTATTCCAGCATACTCCAAAGCCAAAAAATAGTGAATCTTTGGCTCCATCGGGAGTTTCATTCAGTCTACTACATGGACTCTTAGTCTGCATTCTAACTTGTGGGAGGGCTGCCTGGAGCATGGCGATGAGTGCTCGGTCATCCACCCCATGGCTGTTAGTGGGACTCTTTCTCCCACCAGGACAAAAAGTCCTTGAGCTTCTCCCACTTCCCGGGCAAGGAGGTGGGAGTAAGGAAGCTTTTGGGGACGGCTGACTGCAGCGTTCCGAAAACCTCTTGGCGAGTCGTCCCCCTCATCTATGGAACCCCTGGGCAAGTTGTTGAACCACTCACACGCATGAGCTTCAAGTGTAGCAAGCAAGCAATGGCAGATGATCTCCTCGAGAGCCCTGAGCATGACCATTATAGCATGGTATTGAGACCGATGGACTTGTGGGTCTGTCATCTCGTTGTATGGCTTGAGGTGCGAGTCAGAACTCCTCAAGGAGGGGGTACGTCATTATCCATGTGGTGAAAGGCGTGACCGTCCTGGGCACGGGCTGATCATAAGGCACCTTCTTGCTTCAAAGTTCTGCATCTCTTCTGCCAACTTCTTTAGATCAACAATCACTTGATCTTGGACCTAGGGTTTTTCTTTATGTGGGGAGCGACGGGGGATGTCTGAGGTGGTCGCCTATGCATTCCACCCCGGGCGTACAAACCTTCGTGCATTGGAGCTAGATGAGGCCTCGACCTGTCTTGAAGGTCCTTGGGAGTGCATGGTCAGGAGCCTAATCACCCATTATGAAGTGCTTGGAGACCGAGATGTGCTGCTTCTTGTTGTGAATTCAGTCAAATGCTGAGATTCATCATTGAGTGTTTCAACCTCCACCATATGTTCTTTGCATAGGGGCACAACTCTTTTGACTTGGGAGGTGACTTCTTTGTCAACCAACATAGTCTTCTTAGGAGAAGCGACCTAGTGGGGAGTTGCTGGACAACCACGACCAAGTGCCCATGGCGGCGGTGTAATCGTGCATCTCTACTTGCATGAAGGGGAGAGGAACCATTGGTTGTTGGGTGTTGTCGCCTTGGTGACGGCTATTACCGAGTGTGATTGTTTTTCGTCTCCCTCCTGGTAGCAACAATAATGGCAAGCGAAAGTTAACCTTGAGCGTAGTCTCGAGCAATCAATGAAAGCCCCAACTTGATGGTCAATAAACCACCAAAGACGAACAAGGGAGGTCATGTGAAAGTAATTACTCCCTATGTCCCAAAACTATTTCAATATGCAATGTTTGAGAAAAGTTGCTTTCAATTTTATGTATTTATTAGTATAAAATTTAAAAATAAAATGTATTACGTATATATTTTTAAACTACATCAAAAGTTCCACAAAACAAAAGGAGGCATCCCTATTTTATTCTAAGAAATGATCAATCAAAATATGTAAGAAGATAGTGGATAGTAACTGGGAAGATAATTTTGGGATGGTAGGAGTTCATGGTTAAAGTTATTAAGTAGAGCCAGAGCAAGAGAGAAAGATAGCACAAGACACTATATTAGCTAAAGATTGGTTAAACGTATTAGTTAACAAAGAGTGAAGGGGAGTATTTATAGGTGGGGATACCCCTTTATGGCCTTATACAATATGTGATGTACTTAATGTAGTCCATGGGAGACGTTGATTGTTTGTTGTGTATGGCATGTTCTTATCGTCCCAACATTATTGATGGGTGTTTGAAGTATCTTCTCATATATTTGGTGTGTAGTGTGCACCATTTGTGCTTTGTCTAGAGACCGGAATTGGAACAGGTCAAAGACCTAAGGGTTCACGTAGCCTTGTTTAAAACGACAGACAAGAAACCCCTTGAATGGAGTCAATTGGGCCTATGGTGGTCGTCCGTGTCCATGACAAGTCATCTCAAATGACTGAAAGAGGCTAGGTCGTCTCTCACATCTGGGTCGACATGGCAACTATAGTGAAGAGGGCGACCACGGGATAAAATGAAGGTCATCCTCGATGGGGAGGGCAACCATGGGATGAAATGAAGGTCATCCCCCAACGGGGAGGACCCCTCTATCATCACTACCAAAGCTCGAAGTGGTTGTTGTCCTTCCACTTTAAATGTGATGGCCCAAGCCTCCATTACTAATCCCAATAATAATAATAATAATAATAATAATAATAATAATAATAATAATAATAATAATAATAATAATAATAATAATAATCATCTTATTATTACTATCATTATTATTATTATTGGGCAAAAAAGGTGAACGTGAACAAAAAGTTAGTTGGCCAAAATGAAGATGATCTAATGGATGAGCAGTCCTTCGTGCTTGGATAGAATAAGAAATGAAGATGTGAGAGAAAAAGTAGGAGTGGCACCTATTGTTGAAGAAATAGTGGACGCACGTCTTAAGTAGTTTGGACATGTGGAGAAAAGACATATAGATCATCCAGTGAGAAGGGTGGATAAAATGGAAAACAAATATGTGGCTAGAGGAAGGAGTAGAGCTAAGAAAACATGGCATGAAGTGGTCAAAGGTAATCTACGCATGAATGATCTCGCTGAAGATATGATACATGACAGGGCACAATGGCATTGTTTGATCCATGTAGTCGACCTCATCTAGTGGGATAAGGCTTCGTTGTTGTACTATTATTTTTTTCATTCTTATTTTTATTATTACTATTAGTATTGTTGTTGTTGTTGTACAAGTACGATAGATAATGATAGTTCAATACCAAATTTTTAAAATTTGAAATGTTAAAATAAAAAAGAAATGGTATTGTTTCAGAAGGGACAAACAATTATTGACAAAGTTTAACTTCATGAAGAAAAAAAGTAAAGAGAGGAAAAGAAAAGTAGAAAAAAGATTACAAAAAATTAGAGTTGAGATTAACCTCGCAACTAGATAGGAGAGAGTTACCTTGTGGGTAGAGTTAAGTTATTGGTGAAGATGGAAAAATGAAGATACATGTGGTAAAGATTATGTATGTATAGCACTAAGGGGACCCCCAAGAAAGGAGACAATGGTCCATTGTTTTAAAAAAGGTGAGTAAAGGGCAAACTATGATTTTTTCTAATGAGATTGGGGCCAAAGAAAACAAAAACAACCCAAGAGATTTTGCAATCTAACTCACTTACAAGAGGCAAGACTCAAGTCCATTCTCTTAAAGAAAAAGAGGTTAAAGCCTTGATAAGCCTCAATGCCTTTAAGCCACGTGCCTCACACCTCAAGAGAGCGAAAAAAACACACACAAAAAGTATTGAAAAATATGAAGATATAGATCGGAGAGATTAAACATGTGGTGTTTGGAGGGCTGCTCAGTTATTGGTGAAGATGGAAAAATGAAGAGATGGGCTCTCAAAAATGTTAAAAAAAATTACTAGAAGATGACATAAGTTATGTTGTAATTTGTAAAGACTCAAAGGTCCTCTTATTTTTTCAAAAACACTCAAATGCTTGGCATTGCATTTGCAAAGTTTAGAAAAATGCTTCTAACTGGTTTTGGGCTTATGGGTACTTTTGAAAAATAAGAGGACCTTTGAGTCTTTAGGAAAAAACTAATGCCACCTTCAAGTAGTTTTTTGATGGCCCTATGGGGCAGTAAAATAAAGATAGAAGACTATAGTTCATTGTTTAAAACTAAAAAAAAGGCCAAAGTACACTTGCATCTAAAGGGACTGAGGCCAAATAGCTTGTAAAAATTAACCGACCATGCTTTACAATCCATCACACATCAATTAGGGCAAGACTTGAATCTGTTCTCTTAAAAATTATAGCATCCGAGCTTTGTTACACTTCAATGCCTCTAATTAAGCCTTGAGCCACATGCCCCTGACACCTTAAGGTGTCAGCCTCAATAAGACGGCTAAAGCTTAAGCTTTAAAGCCCTTAGGAGCATTTTATTCTTGCATAACACCTCAACGCCTCAAAGGCAAAGCCTTGCATACCATTTAAAACCATGATTTGAAGTAAGGTGGATTATTCATTTTTTAATCATCACACATGTTGTAGTAAATGTATATACCTGGTGGTCTATGTAGCTGACTTAGTAATACTAGAAAATTATGATAACTGCATCTCTCTTGGCTCAAAGCACACAATGCCAATAGATCGTTATTTGGGAAAATTAAAGTACTGCATCTAAGAATAAAAGTAGCTCAAACTAAGGTTAGTATAGTTCCATCCAGAATAATATATGCACTTGATATTCTTACCGACATCTTTGATTATAGACCCATTGATAGCCAACTAATGTAATAATTTGGCTAAAACAAGACTCGCTACCACACCGGGCACACCCAGAACCAAGCATTATGCTCTAATTTCACTAAGCCACGGGTGGATCCAGAAGTTTCAAGTGAATAAACTCCTACCCCCACCCCACCCTCAAGCGCATTGATGCATCCAAAATTAATTTCTACTCTGTAGTCTGTACCAATATTAGATTATCATTTCCTATCAGTTCCTCAAATAGTCCATCCTAACAGGCAAATCAAGATTGCTTAACATACTTAAACTATCAAGAAATTTTAACCTGTGATTTATGGATCTGCAAAGGCAAAATGAAAAGTCATGAAAATACCACTGCAGTTCATGCTTATGAAACCATTTCAACTCAAATAAATAAATCGGGACATTAGCTTATCTGCAAATAATAACATAGCGAATCCTAAAGTGTTTTAATTGTTTCCATTAAAAGTTATAGTAAAAAGAATTAAGATCTATTCTGTATTTCCCCTAAAAACAAAAAATGAGAAAAATTGAAGTCTCAAAAAAGTAAAAGAAATTCGATATTTCGATCCGATTCCAATCACATTCATGACATTAGGAGAAGGCATCTGCACGTAACATTTCGAAATTCAATGTGGAAAAAAACACAATCAAGTTGTAACAAAAGTTAGAATTAAATAAAGATAACGCTCCTGGAAGAGAATTTGATAACACAAAAACAAAAAAGCCCCTGAGATCGTTACCTCTTTCGACGTAAGCCATTGGTAGATCGGAGTTACTCAATCCAGGATCTTCTACTTCTTGATAATGGCACGTCCCCCTACACATTAGAAAAGTATATATTGTGGTAGGTACATTTAAGCCCGGTTTAGTCAAAACGAGCATCTAATCAAATTAAACCAATATGAGATCCAATTAAAATTTATTGTTGTTGTTATTATTATTATCATTATTATTATCGTTATTGTTCCATACTTTTTAAATTTCATACTTTTTATATGATTCTTTTAAAAAATAAATTTTAATTTCTCTTGAAAAATATAAGAAGAAAGACAGAAAATTACTGGGAGCTGACATAGGTTTTGTTGTAATGACTCCCAGGTCCCTCAATTTTCGTAAAGCACACCAAGGCATTTACTGTAAAATTTATTGTAATTACTCACTGGGGTATATTCAGGCCAAATAGATCGGAAAACAGCTATAAGTAAGTAAATGACGGTATATTTAATACCTCTCAACCCCCTTTGAGCGGATGGTCTAAAAAATCTGCACCAGTCTTTCTCCCTCTCTTCTCTGTTTTTTTTTTGCTCTCTGTTTTACTGTTTTGTCTCCACGGTCAGCACACAGCAACCCAACACCTTATCTCTCCTTCTTTTGGTCAACAAAGCAAAGGAAAATATTTTTCCAAAACTGGGTCCTCCACCAAAGAAAAATGGAACCCAAATAAAAATGGGGCTGGACTCACAACATACACCACAAGACAAAGAAATTCAGCATATATGTATGACTCCATGACAATGTCCACATGAGGAACA